CCAGCGTTCGCATGCGTTCGACGCGTGGAGTAAAGACAAAGACAGCTTTTGTCTCCGATGAACTGTTTGAACGCCGGCGTCCGGCATTAGAACGCGTTCGACGAGCGCAGGGGGACAGAGACAGCTTTGATCTGCACTGCACTGTTTGAACGCGGAACGCCGGCGTTCGAACGGATTCGACATGTGCAGTAAAGACAAAGGCATATTTTGTCTCCAATGAACTTTTTCAACGCGAAACGCCGGCGTCCAGCATTCGAACGCGTTTGACAAGTGCTGGGGAGACAAAGACAGCTTTTGTCTCCACTGCACTGTTTGAACGTGTTAGAACGCAGAACGCCGGCGTTCGAACGCATTTGACATGTGGAGTAAAGACAAAGACAACTTTTGTCTACAATGAACTGTTCGAACGTGTTTCAACGCGCAACGCCGGCGTCCGGCATTCCAACGCGTTCGACATGTGCAGGGGAGACAAAGGCAGCTTTGGTCTGTACTGCCCCTGTTTGAACGTGTTAGAACGCAGAACGCCGGCGTTCGAACGCATTCGATATGTGCAGTAAAGACAAAGACATATTTTGTCTCCAATGAACTGTTTGAACGCGACGCGTTGGCGTCCAAACGCGTTTGACAAGTGCTGGGGAGACAAAGACGGCTTTGGTCTCCACTGCACTGTTTGAACGTGTTAGAACGAAGAACGCCGGCGTTCGAACGCATTCGACGTGTGGAGTAAGGACAAAGACAGCTTTTGTCTACGATGAACTGTTCGAACGTGTTTCAACGCCGGCGTCCGGCATTCCAACGCTTTCGACATGTTCAGGGGAGACGAAGACAGTTTTGGTCTCCACTGCACTGTTTGAACGTGTTAGAACACAGAATGCCGGCGTTCGAACGCGTTCGACATCTGCAGTAAAGACAAAGACATATTTTGCCTCCAATGAACTGTTTGAATGCGACACGCCGGCGTCCCGTATTCTAACGCGTTTGACGAGTGCTGAGGAGACGAAGACAGCTTTGGTTTCTACTGCACTGTTTGAACGTGTTAGAACGCAGCACGTCGGCGTTCGAACGCATTCGAGGACAGCTTTTGTCTACAATGAACTGTTCGAACGTGTTTCAACGAGCAACGCCGGCGTCCAGCATTCCAATGCGTTCGACATGTGCAGGGGAGACAAAAGCAGCTTTGGTCTGTACTTGCACTGTTTGAAGGTGCTTGGACGCGGAACGCCGGCATTCGAACGCGTTCGGCGAGTGCAGGGGACACAAAAACAGCTATGGTTTCCACTGCACTGTTTGAACGTTCTTAATCGCGGAACGCCGGCTTCCGGCATTCGAACCCGTTCGACGAGTGCAGTGGAGACAAAGACAACTTCGGTTTCCACTGCACTGTTTGAACGTGCTAGAACGCGGAACGCCGGCATTCGAACGCGTTCAACGATTGCAGTTGAGACAAAGATAGCTTTTGACTCAATGCACTGTTTGAACGTGTATGAATGCCGACGTCCAGCGTTCCAACGCCTTTGATGAGTGCAGTGGACAAGAAGATAGCTTTTGTCTCCAATGCACTGTTTGAACGCGGAACGCCGGCGTCTGGCATTCGAACGCGTTCGACGAGTTCAGTGGAGACAAAGACAGCTTTGGTCTCCAATGCACTGTTTGAACGCGGAACGCCCGCGTTCGAGGAGCGCAGGGGAGGCAGACAACTTTTGTATTCACTACACTGTTTAAACGCCGGCGTTCAACAAGTGCAGTGGAGATAAAGATAGCTTTTGCCTCCAATGCAATGTTTGAACGTGTTAGAACGCAACAAGCCGGCGTTCGAACGCGTTCGATGAGTGCAGTGAAAACAAAGATAGCTTTTGTCTGCAATGCACTGTTTGAACGTGTATGAATGCCGACGTCCAGCGTTCCAACGCCTTTGATGAGTGCAGTGGACACGAAGATAGCTTTTGCCTCCAATGCACTGTTTGAACGCAGAGCGCCGGCGCCTGGCATTCGAACGCGTTCGACGAGTACAGTGGAGACAGAGAGCATCGGTCTCCACTGCACCGTTTGAAAGTGTTTGAACGCGGAACGTCAGCGTTCGAACGCGTTCGACTTGTGCAATGGAGACAAAGACAGCTTCGGTCTCTTATGCACCGTTTGAATGCGGAGCGCCGACGTCCGGCGTTCCCCTTCCGGAATTTTGCGTCATGCCACCGACGCCGGCTTTCCTGTGACCCCAGCTGATTAACGGCATCACAGTAAAAAAGTGAAAGCCGTTTACAACTAACTCCCTGTAACGCCGAATTAGAGCGCAGCTCTTGAGGAGGAGGAGGGAAGGGTACTGGGGGGGGGGTCAAGTGACCTTGGGTGGGGGTCACGTGACCTAGGGGGGTCACGTGACGATGACGATGCCGATGACGTCATCAGTAACGATGACAATGCGGATACCGTTGACGTCATCAGTGACGTCACTGATGACGTCATCAGCGATGATGACAATGACGATGCCGGTGACGTCATCAGTGATGATGACGATGCGGATGCCGGTGACGTCACCAGTGACGTCACTGATGACGTCATTAGCGATGATGACGATGCGGATGCCGGTGACGTCATCAGTGACGTCACTGATGACGTCATCAGTGATGATGACAATGACGATGCGGATGCCGGTGATGTCATCAGTGATGATGACGATGCGGATGCCGGTGACGTCGTCAGTGACGTCACTGATGACGTCATCAGCGATAATGACGATGACGATGTGGATGGTGATGATGACGATGCGGATGCCGGTGACGTCATCAGTGACGTCACTGATGACGTCATCAGCGATGATGACGATGCGGATGCCGGTGACGTCATCAGTGATGATGACGATGCGGATGCCGGTGACGTCATCAGTGATGATGACGATGCCGGTGACGTCACTGATGACGTCATCATTGATGATGACGCTGACGATGCGGATGCCGGTGACGTCATCAGTGACGTCACTGATGACGTCATCGGGGTCACGTGACTTGGGGAGCCACGTGACTTTGGGTGTCACGTGACCTTGGGGGTCACGTGACCCTGGGGGAGGGGTCACGTGACCTTGGCGAGTCACGCGACCTTGGGAGTCACGTGACCTTGGGGTCACGTGACCTTGGGGTGACCTTGGGGGTCAAGTGACCTTGGGATGACCTTGGTTACGGCGACGCCGCTCAAGCCGGGAACGGGCCCCTAGGAGCTGCGCTCTAAAAGAAATGCTCGAGCGATCGATATGCAGGACGCTGCAAAACCCCAAAGTATCATTCATATACTGCGATATCACCAACAGTTGCGCGTATTTTTGGAAAAACAAAGTGTGCGATTGAACACGGCCGACGAGACATATATCACGTCATGATTTTAATTCCCTTTTTTTTTTTCGCTTCATCGAGCAGGTGAACCAAGGCGAAGATGAGAGAAGCGAGGCCACTTACCCTCATCCTCAACTGTTCCAGGAGGATTGTGACGTCAGTGGTGTCACAAAAAAGAGGGGGGGGGGCAGACGGACTCCTGCTGGTGCAGCGCTCCGGGGGGTGTCGTGCGGGTCACGAGAGGGGAGGAGGGGGGGGAGGGTGGCGGAGGTGTTGCGGCGGGCGACGAGAAGGGGGGAGGAGGGGAGTGTAGCGGAGGGCCCCGTGACGGGGGGGGGGGAGGTGGAGGCGGTCACCTGGCTGGGAAGGGGGGGGGGGTCGCCGTGAGCCACCGCTACGGGTGCCACTCACCCTAGTGACGCCTCTGTGTGACGTCATAGTCCTTCCTTGATCGCGCCCTTCCTTTTTTAAAAATGGGGCCATCCGTTTGAGATGTCAATGCATGAGTGATGTCTCGTAGTTAATAGCGTCCCGTTCAACGCTGCTGCAGCATTATTTCGGAAAATCTGAAGTTGTGGTCAGCATCGAAATTTCGGTGCAGCGTCCAACGCTGCCTCGTGATTGGTCTGCTAGCCTTCTTATCGCTTAATGCGGGAATCTCTTTGGCTGCGAAGTGGTAATGAGATGCCTCGCGAGAAAAATATCTGCTGGCCGGATCTGCATGTATTGCTGAGAGTCACAGGGCTCACTAGAGTTTCCAGCTTAGCACACGTCACTCTCTCTCACCACTCTCTTCTCATTGGCTGCTGGACAGCACGTAAAAATTTTTACCAATTTTTGCTTCAGTGTTGTTGTTTTTATTCGGAAGCACTGTACGAGTCACATGACCCAGCCTCCAACCTAAGAGCATATATCGATGGCGCTTTCCAGCATATTACACAACTTGGGAATGGCGCAAGGTTGATTTCCGAAAGACCGTCCGCTAATTCGGCTGTCACCGACTCTTCGCCTAAACGCGTGAGGTAGACCCACATAATTTTGGTTCGAGTTAGCCGTTCATTTCTCTAGAGATATGATGACAAAATAAAATGAAATATTAGAGTATTACAAAAAAGTCAAAATGGCGTTGGCGGCACTCACTGTTGCCAGACCGTTCCTATTTTCCTCTTCTTATATATTGTAGTGCTTTTGGAGCCCCCGTCAACTCCAGCATCTAATAACAAAACCTGTTCATCTAGCCAATATCACCTAAAAGTTTTGCGTATTGTGCAAGCGCCGAGAGATATTGGCTTTTGACGTTGAAATCCTGTATTCATCTTAATAAGATAACACATATCTAATCTAAAATGCACCTACATAGATATATCTTAATTCTCGACATGAATGGGAAATTAGTAAAACTCCGCCAAAAAGCAAATCTTTTTTTCCCTTTTTTTACTGTACTTTTGGGGTGAAAACGAGTACACGTCTGCAAGTCCTATCTCGGAGCGCCGCCATCTTGCTCAGTTAGGGTGCGTTTGGGCGCGGCTATAATCCGATTACGACGCCTTAGCAAAGCTTCTTAATCCGATTATGATGCGTTCAAGCACACCCCAAGAAGCAAGATGGCGGCGCCCTCAATCTGGACTTGCAAACGTGAGTAGAGCGATCCCCGTCCGTTCAGAATAGTCGACTCACCCTCGTGACCATGGGTAGACCCAGTAGGAAACAGACGATGCCCATGACGATGGTGAAGCCCCATTTGTGGGCGCGCAGAAAGGGAATCTGGTCACTCAGGCTGGTCACAAAAGTCTCCAGGATGGCGAACTGCATTGACGAGGACAACCGGTTCGAGCATGGTCGCACCAGATAATCGCAAAAAAAAAAAAAAAAAAAAGTATGGAACACCTGTTTGCTACTTATCACCCCGGGCAAAGAAATGCTGAGCCACTGAGCTGTAGACTCATGCACGGCGTCTGACACTCCGCCCAATGGAGCTACCGCGCATGGCCGGAACGCGTTCCGCGGTTAAGGGCCAGTTTGTTGGCGATTGCGGGTTACACTAGCCGAAAAAGAGGAATTTTGAGGTCACGTGACCGGCTCCGCAGGGAGAAAGTGCCCGCTCAAGAAGCAAAAGGACTTGCGCTCCACATAGCTGCCTTTGACTCTCCGAACGCTGGACGCCGGCGTTTGGCAATCGAACGCGTTCGGAGTGTGGAGTAAAGACAAAGGCAGCTAGCTTTGCGTCTACCCACTAATCGCTCCAATCAGATCTCGGCGCCCTGAGGTCCCCGCGCGCTCCCGTCTCCCCCTCTCCCTCATTTTCTCGGCGCACAGGTACGTGCGAAAAATCATGGTCAAATAGGCCATGTGGATGTCTGGATAGTCTGGCCATCGACTCGTGCGTCACTTACCTCAGAGTCCAGACCGAGGATGAAGAGCATGAGGAAGAAGAGCACCGACCATAGCTGGGGCACTGGTAGCCTTGTCAGTGCCTCCGGGTACGCTACGAACGCCAATCCAGGACCTGCAGTGACGAAAAAAAATTGTCTTGCTTGTTTGTTCTGACAGCCTGGATGCTAGTGCGCCTCCACGGGTGACTTATCTCTTAGCTCTAGATGATAAATTCAGCCGGTGCAGTACAACCGCCAACCTTGGGTCTTTAACGTCCAACACGCAGTACAATGGCGTAGCCAGGAATTTCTTTTAGGGGGGGGGGGGGGGGAGGGGCTGAGGTGGCTGATATGTCTATGACTTGTGGTGCGGGGAGGGGGAGGGGGGTCAAAATACATGTGTATAGACCGACACGCGGGCTTGACGTCACGGAGCTGCGGCGGCGCTGCAGTCGCGCCGGAGCCGGGCGGTGTGGGCAAAAGAGCGCACGTTTCGCATCGGCGTCATAGCACTTCAGCATGCCGCGAAGCTGTGTTGCCGTTAATTGCACCGAAATGTACAAGAAAAGCAGCGGAGTGAGTTTCCACAAGTTCCCGACAGACTCTGAAAGACATAGAAGGTGGATAATATCCGTGGATCGAAAAGAATGGTCGCCTTGCGCGAACGACCGTTTGTGCGGCAAACACTCTCTTGAAGGCAAGTGCAGCTTCCATTTCAGTCTCCGTCCCGAGGCTTGCTTATGTGCAGGGAAACCGTTGTCTGATCGAGACCACCCGGATTTTTTTCCGACGGTGTTCGTGCACAAAGCACCGGCCAAGCGCTCGTCGGAGGCTCGCTACGCCCGTGCTACACAGCAGAAGGGAATCGGCGACAGAACGGCAGTGTTGTAGGCGTTACCGAAAAAAAGTAACGAAATACGTTACTCGTTCCTTGCAAATAAAAGAGACGCGTTACTGAGCTACGTTGCCTAAAAATAAAAGGAACGCGTTACCGCTACCAATAAAAAGTAACGCGCGTTACTTCTGCGTTACTTTTTTTAAATTATGATTTAACACATTTTACGGTTTTGACGATGCAGGTCATATATCAAGAAACATTATGCACATGCAGAAACTGAACATAGTTACTTTATCTCTTTTTACGGTTTCACCTAAATACTTACGAGAAAAAACGCAAAGAAAAACATGGCTTGACGGCTAAAACACGGAAAAAATTGAAGTGTAATTCCTTTAAGACTTGGGAAGTAGTGACAAGTAACGTAACTACGTTACCTGAAATTAGTATGTTACCCGTTACTGTGTCTAAAACGTAACGAGTAGGTTACTACGTTAATGAAAAAAGTAACGCGTTACCAACAACGCCGTTACTTGTAACCTGTTACCATCAAGACTGCAGAACGGGCAAAGTGTTACTGCTTATCATGCCTTGTGGTCATGAGGGTAGGAAAAATATCATACCTTGACTTGAAGACGCTGTGTGTATTTAATCAATTAATAAATACACTTCCGCAGACCCACAGTCTGATGATCCCGCCGGCAGTGCGGAAACCGACTCGAAGTAATCGTAGACTTCGAGAGACTTGTACGCCTGCACCGTGTCGGCCGTGAACTGGCTGGGCGAAAAAACTAAATAAACGACGACGTGAGCCGTCGACTTCGTGGCAGCATCTTTACGTCGAAAGTCCAGCAGGCCTTGTTTACGGCGTACGGATCCTCGAAGGTAACGCCGTCCACGCACAGTTTGTTTCGATACCGCTGCCGTTCAGGCTCGGGTAGCGAGCTGAAATAGTCGGGCATAGCATACGACATACGTTGTGAGGAAATACGACGCATAAATAAAGATACAAGCGTCCCTACAACGTCAACAACGAGCGCACGCCATAGAACGCAATGGCGAAAGCACGGAGAGCCGGGCTGCTTTTGCCCACATAGCTACCGCGCATGCGCGGCCTTCCGGCCGTGTTGGTAAACAGAGCCGCTCCGCGTGTCGGTCTATATCACAGGGTCGGCTGGATTTCGGGGTGGGGAGGGAGCGCGCTGAAGCCCCGTAAGTCCCCCCCCCCCCCCCTTCCCCCCCCTCCGATAACTTCTGAATAAGGTAACGATCAGTTATGAAACTTTGACATCTGGTCCGGACAACTAGTGCTACATTTTGGTGGAGAATGAGTGTTCGCCGACGCGTATAGATTATTTATAAGGTAAAAGAGAAAAAGAGAAAAACAAACTAAATAGCTTTTTACAGTGAAGCTGCTTACGGCTAGGGTTCAGTGGATTTTTCATGTGCGTCAACAAAAACACTAAGCTCGAACCGCCACACGCGCCGCACTAGCAAGCCTTCCCGTATAAAAGATTCGAAGTAAATAACAAAATAAAGGGTCGACGAACGCGCGTGCAAGATGCCATTTGTCCTGGGCTTTTGCTTTAGAACAGTTACTGCTGCAGACGCCGGCACGTGCGGAGCGTGGAACACCAATCCCTGCATTCTCCTTGATGTTTGTGTAATTTAGCAATACGTAGGTCTATTTAGTAGATTAGTTGTTCAAGATCAGAAGACTCGTAGACAATAAAGGTTTCTCAAAGATTGGCCGCTGTGCGATCCGCGTCGGCCATGTCTAAGCTCGCACCGCCCACTATTTGTCGTCGTTCCAAGCCCCCGCTCTCATGCCTAGTTTCCTTTCCTTCCGTTAGGGAGTTTTCGTAAACCGCGTTTCCCTCTCCGCTAAGCCCTCCGCAACGAAGAAGCCGCTACTGCGCCTGCGCGCCGATAGACTTGGCTGTACAGTTCCGGGTATCGTAGCGGGTTGCAGAGAGCGTTGCCGGACGGCGAAAACGATCTACGAAAACTTCCTGTTCTCCCAGGGTACGGTCTCGTCGCGCGTGTCTACTTTCCGCCGGGCGGCGGTCCCACCGCGCGTGTCTAGTTTCCTCCGGCTCTTCGGGGCGGCGATAGTCGCCCACGCGAAATAATGACTATCGATCAAGACGACAATAAATGTGTGTGCGTACCTTTCGTCACGATGACCACCTATCAAGACAATACAAAATTATGTGTCACGTCTGTGTCCTGTGCTTAACAGCTTCGCTGGTCATCCACCTTTAAAAAACAAAATGGCTCATGATTTTTTTTTCTTTTTTTTTTGGGGGGGGGGGGGGGGGAGGGAGTGGTTGGGACATTTTGTACATATTAACGTTTGTGTTTAAGTCTTTGAAGCTCTTGCGGCGAAGAACACGAGTATTAATTATTCCTGTCTTATGAGTCGAGTGGTAAACCTTTTCTGTCTTTAGTGACGTAAGAAATAAGTTTGCGAGTACTTCGTACCTCCCTGGGCGACGTCTTCGACCTTGACATCTCCCAGGTCGTGGGCCATGGCCCCCAGGACGGAGAAGATGACCATGCCAGAGATGATGCTCGTCACCGTGTCCAGGACGCTCACGATCATGGCGTCTCTGCAGAAATTAACAGAGAAGCAGAATACAACATGTTACCGAAATAATGAGGGCCGATGAAGTATGTCGTGGCAATAAATCATTAAAACTTATAGTCCGTTGCAACCTAAGAACGAAGGGCGAGGGTAAGACGGGCCGGGGAGGAGGAAGCGCACGTAAGGCTGGAGAAGAAAGAGGGAAACCTCCTTCTCTCTTTAGCGTTCCGTCCGCTTCCTCCTCCCCGGCCCGTCTTACCCTCGCCCTTCGTTCTTAGGTTGCAACGGGCTATAGATTAAGACGATGTCCACCTCTCGGGTAAATGAGTGGTATTGGCATCGGTGATTAGAAGAAAACGTAATCTATAAAGAGCACTCTTATACTTTCATAAATCTGGATTGGGGGATCGGTGGCCGAGTGGGCTAAAGCGCACACCCAGCTCGACGCGCATGGAGCGAAAGCTCGCGCTGCAGGACCCAGGGATCCTGGGCTCGAGCCCCACCCCTGCCCGTTTCGATCTGGGTGAGCATCGTACAGGCGTGCGGTAGTGTATAGCGTGGTACACGTTAAAGACCCCAGGCTAGTGGTTGCACCGTACTGGCTAAATTGCTCATCTCAGCTGAGACACCAGACGCCCACTGAGGCTCTATAAACATACACAAAACAATTAAATCTGGATTTATGAACACACTTGTCCCGAGCGATAGAATGTCCGCTCGTGCTCCTCGCGTTCTTAGCGCTACCGCTTTTTTTCTCGTCGGGTTTAAAACCAGGTTTCAGGTCCTCGTCTCTGCAAAGCTGTGCTCTGACTACAGGTTCCCCGAGAAATGCTCTGTGCTACAAGAACCATCTTGCTCCAAATCTGCGACCGAACACTCTATGGCTCCGCCATCGAACTGCCAGGCTTTATGAGTATAGAGGAGGCTATGACAAGACACACAAGCGCTGCGTGTCTTGTGTGTTCCTTTCTTTTGTTCTCGTCCCTTGTGCGTTGTTATGTTCCACATGACTTCATACCATCTAGCCCAGCTCACCACCCTTCTACAGTTTATAACCTTTCCTTGGGTAACAAAAACCCGGAAATGGGCTATCGAGGTGCATAAATAAATAAATGAATGGATTACGACAATAAATATCCGGGGGCGGGGGGGGGGGGGGGGGGGGATGGCAAAATTAAAGCAAACAGGCGCTTTTTAACACATTCCAGATATATGCGTCTCAGACGCCCGTGCAAATATGCGCTGCATGGTACTAAAACGAAGTAGAGGCGAAATGAACTAAACTATAAAATTAGCAGCCGGCGTTTCGTAAACACTTTTTTTTTTTTTTTTTTTTACACTTGGCTGCTAGGGACAGTTGCATTCACGCTCTTCCTACCAGTTTCGACAAATTCCCGTGTTCTTTGCCAGCCTCTATTGGCGACGTGCGCGACCGAAAGCGTCGCTGTGGTCAACCTTCCACGATTGGCCAAACGCTGACTATGACGTCAGAAAAAGATTTATCATCGACGGAAATAAGAGGAATGAAAGAACTTTAATTTTGATGGTGATGGCAGTGTTCCTTTGAGAGCGCATTGATTTCAAGCTTCCACCATGCTATTTAAAAACACCATCGAACTTGTTGTTTGCAAGGTAATGACGTCACAAGGGGGAACCGTAGGAGGGCGCCACTAAAACATCTCGCCGCTAATAACGTACTATACTTATTTTGGCATCCAATGGACCATTTGCTATATTAATCAAGCATCAAAGAGAATGCGGGGATTGGTGTTCCACGCGCCAAACGCGCACACCTTCTCCGTACAAGATTCGAAGTAAATAACCAAAATAAAGCGTTGACGAACGCGCGTGCAAGATACAATTTGTTTTAGGTTTTTGGTTTAAAAAATTTACTACTGCTGAAGCCAGCACGTGCGGCGCGTGGAACACCAATCCCTGCATTCTCCTTGATGCTTGGGTAATATAGAAATAGGTCTATTCAATGCGCCGGATACGGGCTTAATCACGTGGTATTGTTAGAGCCACCACATAAGCATGCTGTAAAGTCCGACCGTAGCCAACACGATCCGATGGAGTTAATCAAGTTGCAGCGCCAAATGTGCGTCGTCATGGTGCTCGTCATCTTTGTGCATCTGCTATCGATCAAGTTCATTCATACTTCTTTGTACGAGTAACGACAACCAATACGAACGACGGAGTACATTCCGCTGGAACGAAAATGGCTTCGCTATTCAATTCAGTCTTGCCGCCATTCGCTTGCTCAAACCCGCACCGTCACGTGGTCGGCGCTTCAAAAAATGCTGCTACTTGTTGGAATTGCACGAGGGACTCTCCTATCGAGGAACTCTAGCTATCAATTGTTGGATTAGAATGACCCGAACTATGAACTACTAATCTTCTTAATTCACCAATTTCGGTAGACCATGCATCCTGCTACCGGAGACTTTGTTCGAAGATTCCTTGAAAGCAAACTTATACAAGGGGTTCCGTTAGGAAGGCAGGGAAAAATAGAGACGGTTACGAGTAATTTTTGTACTTACGACAGTAATCCGATTACTATTGTGATTACTACCTCATAAAAGTAATCAATTAAATGATTACGAAATTACTCCGAAAATAGTTCAATGACAAGTAATTTGATTGCATAGTAATGAGTTCCGTTACAAGTCCGGAAAGAAGCCAGCTCGGGTCACGAGAACGGGGTATTCTGCGTTCACCTGAACACGTTGTTGCTGAACTTGTTGTAGCTGCTGTACATGATGAGCCCTCCCATGGACAGGCTGAGCGAGAAGAACATCTGTCCCGCTGCGGCCTGCCACACCTTGATGTCCAGCAGCCTCTCGAAGGTGGGCGTCACGAAGTAGAGCACGCCGTCGATGGCCCCTGGCTGGCAGAGTCCCGTCACCATGAGCGTGATGAGGATGACGTAGGGGAAGGTGGCCGCGAAGTAGACCACCTTGCCCGAGGTCTTGATGCCGTTCATCAGGCACACGACCACGATGATCCAGCTGAGCAGCAGGCACAGCGCCAGGTCCCACTTGACTCCACCAAGGTCCTCGATGCCCGGGGAGATGTCCAGCACGTATCGCCTGCAGCAGGTTGTCGATCGTTAAAGGACTCCTTTTCACGATGGCTTCGTACACTCTCAAGAAAAAAGGGTGTAAAAGGGTGTATCGTTACACCCTTTCTCCCATATATTACATCCCAAAACTTCATTTCGAACAGACGACTCCAAATTTTACGAGGGGCTTGATAACGGTGGGATATAACTTTTCAAATAGCTAAAGTATGTATCAAAGACAACATAAAGAAGACACCGAGTTTTTACAGTAGGGCCGAGAAAACCCCGATTTTTTTTTTTTTTTGTAGTCAGTAAAATACACATTAGCTATTTTAATAAGTTGTACCACACGGCTATCAAGCCCCTCGTAAAATTTCGGGCCGTCTGTTTGGCTGTAGGGCGCTGTACGTCGAGTTGAAGTTTAGGGGTGTATTATATGGGACAAAGGGTGTAACGATACACCCTTTTACATCCTTTTTTCTTGAGAGTGTAAGTTGAAGCAAAAGCAGGAGCGTTAATTAGACGGTGATACACCCTAAAGCCGTGGGCACCCTGCCGGTACGTCATACACAAGTCAGACTGCTGACGCTGCCTGAGGCGTTTCAATTTCTTGTGGGATGGTCCTGTCGCACTGGTCATACATGGGGCGTCAGATACCTCTGCCATCCTTCTGTATGCCTGCTTCGAACACCGTGTCTTTTGACCAGTGCGACTCTGGTCTTACGTCACGGGGGTAGTCGTCTTACCCCCGTGTCTTCGGATAACCAATCAAGCGCACTGAACGCGCCATGAACTTGCGGTTCGGCCTGTGCTTGCGTGCTTATTCTAAATTTTGGAGGCGCTCGTAGTTCATTCAGCTATCGATCTTCCTTTTTTTAAAGACTGGTTTTACCCGTGTGCAATACTTAGCTTTGGCCATTTCAGCTGCAGCATTTATCAAATGGTGCGGTGGACTTTAATTTAGGTCGGCTACATATTTGTGGGTACGTCTTACACATACAATGTGTTGCGCGAAAAGCTGCCCCAATCGCTCCTGTAGAAAAAAACAAAACAAACACTGAATCACTTAGAAAAAAAAAAAAGATGTACGTCTTAGGTTTCTCCTAGATTACCTTTTTTTTACGAAAACTAATAGCATTCGGTATGATTAGGATCTTAACTACTTTTGAGGAATTTCTGGGCAACATTGAAAACAACGAAATCGGCGCACCTACATTATAAAAATGTAAGGACTGCCCAAACTTTTACGCCGCCCGTCCGAAAAAACAAAAACAAAACAAAACAAAAAATGAACTCTATTAGAACTTGTTTCTAGGTTTCGGTTTTTTATCGGAGCGCATCTTTGACCAGTGGCCGAAGCGCGCAGCCTCTGCCTCGCCTCCCCTGTAGCAGAGGGGAGAGTGTCGCGAGGAGGCGAAGTGAAACGCTGTGCTGTTCGAAAGACCATGCAAGAGTAAGCTTTGATTCTCGGCTCCGTCATGCGAAGAATGCGTGGCGACGCACGTTAGGAAGTGCGCTTCGGCCACGGGGGAGCAGGCCCGCCCTGCTCAGATACGTTTCATAGATAACAGAAACATCAAAATGTATATAACTTTTTTTTTTTTTTATAAATTAGCTAGATCTCGGAAACTGAATCGGTTATATTATGTGATAAAAATTAATGTAACGGTGGCCGCGGTATAGGGCTCAAAGATAGTCTGATAAGCACACAATCATGTTTATCTCAGTTTTGCTTCACAAAAAAAAAAAAAAAATTAAATCATTTCGAAAAAAAAAAAAAAAAAACTTCTGTTAACAGGTTTTGCGTGCGATCATATCTTTGTAAAGTAAGCTTATTTAGTGGTTTTCTATAGTGCCCAGAAGGTTTCTAATATAATAATGTATATATCTCTAGGTTTACTAGTTAAAACATTAATTTCTTAATTTTGATTAAAAACCTAGTGATACCAAACGTTATGAATTTTCCTGGCTAGACCTTTTGGAAGAAACCAATAGGACATCATTTTCTTTTGCTGTGCGACGCGTACATCTTGCAGGAGCGATTTGGCCCGCGTTTAGTTCAACCCTAAAAGTGACGCCAAGTTCTCATTTTGGAAATGTCATCTAAATTCAGCAACGTTGCAAGATTTGAACACGGACAGGCGAGGGTGCACTGTATATGATTCAGAGTACCCATATGATTTATGCCAGTTGGTCCGTTGACAATGTAAAACCACAATGTGACTACGCTCCGAAATTGGACGACACGCCTTTAGGGTGTAACTGTCCCACTGGATGTCAGGTTCCAATACAGCTGCGCACAACGCGATGAATGAAGTAAAATAAGTACTTACTCCCAGTACACTTGGCTCGAAGGCGTGGCTCCTTCAGTCAAGTTTCCACTCGTGAACTGTCGGAAAATAATCAATTCCCTCGGTTCTACACAGCGCAAAACTAACGAAAATTCATTGTTTCATATTTTTTTGACGAACTAATGATTTCATATTATGGAACTAATTAAAACCTTTTTAGATTTATTATATTATTTTAAAGTGATACTGCAGATGCTCTTCCACCGTCTTACAAAAAAAATTTCGTCAACACAAACCCTTCTCTTTGACGTCACACCGGTGCGGTGGCGCTGCTGTCAGCTCTGCGCATGCGCAGACGGTTCTTCTCACGCGAGTCTGGTTCCTGCGTAGGCGCAGTGCCCACGCCTGGTCTGGGCAAACGCGGGCTTGTTTGTCAACAGCGCTTCTGAGTATACAAGTTTACAGTGCTTACTGCTGGTGCGTCAATGCAGCCGTACGACAGAGGATTTCCGTCTTTTGTTTAAATTTGCCCCCTGGCTAAATGGTTAGCTTTCGAACTCGAGATAACCCGTTTCCACGTCATCTCCGTGGTTAGAAATATATTTATATTTTATATTTGTTTTCCTAATTAGATTGTTGAACTATACATAACATCCTTTTGAAAATACTGCCTCAAATCAGGAGAAAAGTGAAATGCGTACACTCAAGAGCGGGCGCGCGTGCGCACACACACACAGACACACACACACACACACACACGCACACACAATATGTGCGTACCATTCACGCGAAGCACTTGGATAAGAGTCAATCACTTGGATCCGCTTAGTAAAACAATGTTATTTCCCTCAAAATGATTCTTACGTCATAAGACCAATAGTGTGATGTGAAAGCGTGACACCTAAGACCTTATTTTTGCTACTGTAGTACCGCACGCCTATGCGTGGCTTGCACGCCGCGTCATCTCAGCACGCCTTTGGTGACTCCTAGTTGTCGTCGATTAAAACACATTCGGTGATACAAAACCTATATTTTTTAAGAGGTACGTGCTCAGCAGGAAGGCCGTCACAACATTCGTTGTCACGTCAGTGCGAGCCATGAAATGCCGCTTCCCGGCTTTCTCATTGCCGTTCCGAGTGCGCTGGGGACGGGGGACGGCAGTATTCATGCGTGACCTTTTGACAGTATAACGGCTTATTGAAGATGAAAGCACGCGTGCTACACTACGTTGCTGGGAACGCGTCCCCAGCCGGTCCATTTACCGCGCCCTCCAATGTTGTCCCTCGATGTCCACCTGATGATGTCGTAGAAGTGCATGCCACATGTCGTCGCCGGCCGCGACGTTGGCGGTGTCAAGCAGTGGTGGCGGATGTGGTAGACACCTAGCTGTTCTGCTGCCTGTCGCTGTTCAGTTTGACAGCCCACGGAAGCCTCGGCAACCGGGAGCTGGGACGCCGCACGATGACAGCGACACTCGCGTGAGCTCCTGCTTTTGGTAGGGACTTTTAGCATCAACCGCCAGGATCGCGACATCCGACATGACGCACCGGCTTCTATGACGTCATTTTTTGCCACTTAGAAACCATTTTTTTTTATGTGTGGGCGGAATAGGAAGGTCGAAGACTCGCTCCGGGCACTGTGTCTGAATCCCGCAAGATGCGCCATGGATTGGGAAGCGTTGCTCACGTTCTGCGAGCGCACGAAGCAGTTGGTGCCGTTGGCCCAGGCCGGGTCGCAGCGTTGCCAGGGCACCTGGGCCTGGAAGGTGGACGCCGTGTAGTACAGGGTGTACGACATGATGACGTTGTAGTAGACGGCCACCACCATGGACACGCACACCATGGCGAAGCCCACGCCTGGCCACGAGGACACAGAGCAACCATTGGTGTCGGTACATAGAATGTACAGAAATGTTGAAAGCTGCTATCTTAGAATGAATACAGGGTGTTTCGATTTTTTTTATTGAACCTAGGAGGCTATGTTTGAACATGTTTGTTAAAAAATTAATAGAAGGTACACTAATGCAGCTTGTGCAGGTGAATAATTTGGTCAGGGGGAAAGGCCAATCGTCACAATGAGTCGAATCATATCTAAAAATTGTTCATAAACTTTTCAGTTGGTGAAACTCCAACATATGGTTCCAATTATCAACTTGCTGAGCGTCGTCGAAAACTATACTAAACTAGGTAAGTTTATAAAGACTTAACGCAAGTTGGAGCCACGGGGGTGCACTGAAGTTGACCCTCATGCAACAGGCGCAGAACTGGTTGTCCGAAAACACGGATGGTAATGATTTAATTATATTAGATGACGCTCAGCAAGTCTCTAATTAAAACCACACGTTTACTTTTACTAATTAAAAAGTTGTAATTTTTGAAAAACTTATACGAGTTATTATAACGATTAGTTAACTATATTACGTCCACCTGGTCGTATAACTCATCGGCGCAGACCGCAATAGCGTACCTTTGACGGCCTTTTTTGATTTTAATAGGCATGTTCTAATTAAAACTAAACGCCCTATACACGCTCCCACAGTCTACTTTCCTTCGGAGTACGCGCCGCAAGGAAGTCTCTGCATGGCGCGAAACGCAGTGATTGGTTATGTTATAGCGAAACGGCGGCTGCCGCAATGTAAGGGCTTCCAGGAGCTTCCTTCCTAGGCGAGGGCAACACGCATTTGTGCCTATTCATTATCCATATACGCAGGCTCGTTCACACAGTTGCGACTGCTTGAGTATAGAGGGACTTTATGCTTGAGAACACATTGGCGCCATCTATTGCAGACCCGTGGAACACTTAACATTCCCGTATATTTCCTTTTTTTCGCATCATTGTTTTTCTTTTGCATGAAAAACTTCTGACGATGTAATAAAAGACCATTTCTCATTGATGGTACGTACATTTGTTCTCGCAAATACCGCAAGAAAAAAAAACACAAAGAACTTCTCTCTTGTGAAACTTAGTTCTAGGGTCACCTTATACATGGCTCAAGCCTGCCATATGTTTTCTCGGCGTAAGAGATCAGCTTGGGTCCTAAACAAACGCAACTGCGTGAACGTGCCTTTAGCCCTTCTTTTAGAACATTCGCTGAATGCGCTCTGCATACATCCACGTGATTTCCTGTCAAGTGGAAGCACAGCCTTATTTTAAGAATTAGGAGTGCTATGTACTCCGATAGACCATTTTCAAAAATTCGCTCCATCTAGTGGCTGCTGCACCTATCAGACGAGTCCGCCATTAAATGGGCACGCACCCTGCTTCGCAGTCTCAGGTGTTAAACGCCATGATTAGCTGCCACAAGCTCGCTTGCGCACTCATAGTCTTTTCACTCTGTGCATGAATTGGACATGTGAGCTGTACGACAGAGTTCGCCGTGAACTCGTATCAAGAACGAGTGCTGCGTCAGCGCAAGGCGTGGACTCGGATCTAACCATGCGCTTCGGTGCCCAAGAATGGATGGATGGATCATGGATGGATGTTAATGGCTATACCCTTTGTAACGGGCGTTAGCTTGCGCCACCTAGCCCAAGTCTAAAAATACTTAGGCTAGGTGACCCCTAAAAACTAGCGGCCATCAATGTTGTTTGATGGGGTTTTGAGGAAGGGTCTATGTTGTCATGTTGTCTTCTCACCTTTGCAGATGGGTGCGCATGCCCAGATGGTCAGCGGTCCCTGTCCGGCAAACTGCCCAAAGGCCAGCTCTAGGAAGTACATGGGTTTGCCGGCCAGTGCCAGCATGATCAGGTATGGGATCAGGAACGCACCTGCGAGGGTCACACCACCGGAAGCAGCGGTCGGTCAATGGCCCTGTTGATGAATCTCATCAACGCACAACAGTGCTGGAAGTAACGCTTTACAAGTGACAAGTTTACTTGTGAGGCCTAGTAACGAGTCATTTTGGAGCAGCTCTTGGAGAAGTCAAAGGGAAATTTCGGACCAGAAAAAAAAGTGTTTTCGAAGCATAAGCGCACACTACATTTTCATTCATATCACCGCAAATATTATGTTAAGATTCGTGCGTTAGCCTGTCCGACTTAAAGGCAATGTCTACTTTGCCTTCTCACTTACGTATAACACTTTATTAGCATCGATTGCACAGCAGGAGTGATCCCCTAAATCACAAAACTAGCTGCTCGGTTGTGTGTATAAGCACCAGACGCGGTAACGAGAAAATGCCCGATGAAAGACAGCACAAGCTGTCGTGAATGGTTATTTTAGGTACGGAATTCCACTGAATTAATGTTAGAATACGATAATTTTGAGCACTTAAATTTGTTTCCTTCAAGTTCTAGAGGTTGTAATAAAACTTAGATTCTTAATTCCGATGAAAAACAGAACATAAAAAATAAATCTACAGAAGAGTCCATATAAATATTTTTGCAATATTGAAGTATCCTCGCTAAATCTTGAAATGGAAAAAAAGATGCCGCCAGGATATTGCAGTCTATCGTGAGCCCAAGCTTTATGCACAAATTGTGGTCTTGCTCCGAAGAAGTGCTTTCCCCTTAGCACGCGGATACGCTGCGGCGAAGCAAGACATGCAAAATCGCGATGACTGCTCTGCGGATGTCGCTTCACTGCAGTACACCGGTGTGCGGTGAGAAGCGCACTCAACGAAACTAAGGAATCCGCCAGAACAGACCAGGAATATTTTATTTATTTTTATTTGAGAATACTGCTGGCCAACTTTTGAAGGCCAAGGCATGATAAGACTACATAAGAAACAATCAACGAGTCGAATAAATACAACAACAACCATTAACAAGTAGATTAGTGATTGGTGAGAGAAAAAAGTTAATAAACTGCACTTGCAAATAAAGCGGTAGAAGCAATCGCCGTCACGCTTGGGGGCAACTCCTTCCACCCATAAACAAAACGAGGAAAAAAAAGAGTATTTAAAAACTTATTTTTACAACGGAACTCAAGGAGCAAATTTTCGTGCTTCTGCCTTGTATCACGACTTGTGTTATACTGCGAATAATCATCAAAATTGAAGCCAGCTTAATGATAAGTTATATTATACAAACATTTCAAACGCTTAACTTTACTTCGACGTGATAATATAGACACTCCGGAGGCGATGTACAACGGCGTCACGTGTGAATCTTTGCCGTATGAGTTATAAAGACGCCAGGCACTATAGCCGAATCCCGACACTTCCCAGCATGTGTTCTTCAAATTCAAGAAACCTTAAGAATACATTTACGGCATCTAACCAGACATAAAAGACATCATCTATCCGACATTATGTCGTCTAGACCATCGTCCAACTATGCTCGTGTTTTAGCACTGTACCAACAAGAATTTCCATCAAGGTTTCTAACACCAGAAATTGCAGCTACTCCACCTTGGACCATACCTACGCCGCTAATATCCCTCGACATTCCTGGGATACATACAAAACGCAACACTCCTCAGGCGGTGCTGTACCAACATACAATGACCGAACTCTATGGATCTCATATATCTCGTATACACGTTTTCACCGATGGTTCTACAAGTATAATGAGCTCAACAGCCGCTGCTGTGTTTCCTACCAGAGATATAACTATTAAGCACAAACTAAGTCACAAAACATCTTCAACAACAACCGAACTGATTGCCATTCAAGAAGTGGTGAAGTATATCGAGAAACAACAACCTCAAACATGGACTATCTTCACTGACTCCAAAGTGTCCTTGAAAATTCTACAATCGGCTATGGTACCTAGCGGATACCAAGAACTTGGTTTGAACATCATGCTGCTTTTAAACCGCTGCCGAGTTAAAGGACATGATCTGCGCCTCCAATGGATTCCAAGCCATAGTGGGATTTCTGGCAACGAGGCAGCAGATGCAGCGGCTAAATCTGCCCATAAAAATGTGCGCACCCTTGAAAATTCCTTACTTCAAGTCAGAAGCTAACTCAACAGTGCGTAACGTAGCCAAACTCCTGACATCACATCTATGGGCTGATCCCGAATACCATCACTCCCGATTATACGCCCTCGATCCACACATGACATTTAGATATCCGTCTGGACTTCCACGCAGGTCCCAGGCAGTACTACACAGACTCCTACTGGGGGTGGCGTTTACCCGACACTTTCTACATCGAATAAAAAGAAGAGACAGCCCTAACTGCCCAGTCTGCGATGTCCAGGAAACTGCAAATCACCTTATCTGTGAATGCGCCATCTACGCCGTGGAAAGAGAAGACCTTCACAGAACAATTCAGAGGCTAGACGACCGACCTTTCTCCTGTGACAAAGTGCTGGGCTCGTGGCAGTCCACGGAACATTCAATCAAAGCCACAAAAGCCCTAGTGCGATTTCTCGAGGACACCCGGTTGATGCAATCCCTGTAGGCAGAGACTGATATTTAACTATTCAACCCATCATCCTTTCAGCCCTCTCTTCTCATATTCATTAAGCACCTCATCCCACCTTTTGATCCCATAATCCTTTCCCCTGTGCAGAGTAGCCAGCTAGGACAGAAGTCCAGGCTTACCTCTCTGCCTTTCTCTCATCACATTAATAAAAAAAATAAAAAATAAAAAATAAGATATTTTTTAAGGCCTTCCAATTGGTCAGTGAGCAATAGTGAGTGTGCGTCCCATACGATCTCAGCATATTCCAGCAGAGGACGAAGCAGCGATCTTTCGGCCGTCAGCTTTGTCGCAGAAGTACAGTGACGCATTTTCCTACAAAGCGTCCACAGTTTATTCGACACTTCTGTGATAGTCTGCTCAATATGAATAGCCCAGCTTAAATTGGACGTGATAGTAACACCCAAATACTTGTACTCATTAACTGCTTCTAGGGCGTTTAAATCAATAGTATAAGAAAAAAAAAAGGGAGGCACGTTCTTCAGTGTAAGTGACATTTGCACACATTTCTTGACATTCAGATCCATTTGCCATTTTTGACACCTTAATAAAATCATTTGAATACCCTCTTCTAAACATTTTTGATTAGCTACACAAAATATCTTAAAAAAAGAAAACACAATCGCCAGAAAAACAAAAGGCACTGTATCGAGGGTTTATCAACTCGCAGACCATTTAGAAAAACCAAAAAGAGCAACGGTCCGAGTACCGAGCCCTGGGGCACTCCTGAAAGAACAGATAAGTGTATTGATTCGGCATTGCCTGCACACACAAACTGTTTACGATTCGTAAGGTACGAGTCTATCAATTTCGGTAGGCGTTCATTGGCTAACACTTACTTCAATTTATGCAGTAACTTGCGATGCGAAACCCTGTCAAACGCCTTCGCAAAATCTAAGAATACAGAGTTGACTTGACTATTGTTACAATCACTGAATCAAAAGTTTGGCCCGTATGAAGAAGCTGTGTCATTGTCGGAAAGCATCGTCGGAAATCGTGTTGATAATCTACTAAGAAAGTTTCTGATTCTAGGAAAGTTACGATGTGCTTACATATGAAGTGTTCGCGAACGTTGCTACAGGTACTTAACAATGACACTCGTCTGTAATTGCAAACACTCTTTTTCTCTCCACTTTTATATATAGGGACAACTTTGCCTGCTTTCCAATCTTGAGGCACGTCGCAAGTTTTTAAACTGCAAGAGTAAATCACGCAAAGAAACTTGGAACACCTTTCAGCGCACCTTCGTAAGAAAGCGTTAGGAATTCCATCTGGGCCACTCGACTTTTAAGAGTCTAATTGCAAAACTGTTAAAAATACCTTCTGTAGAGACCACCAAGTCACTGATTCCACAACTGCCATAATTAAGTAAAGGCAACATAGAGTTATCAACAGTGAAGACAGAAGAGAAACAATAATTAAGCTCGCTTGCGATGCTCGCTTCATCGAAAAAAGTCCGCCAGCTATGAATCAGCTCCTCAATCATCACACTTTTTTTTTTGTCAAAGGAGCCCAAAACGTTCTCGGGTTTTCTTTGAGAAAGTTGTGCATCGTGACATTAAAGCAACGATGGTTAGATGTGCGCAAAAGGGTGTGTAGCTCTTGGTGAAGAGGAGGAAGCATAAATTTTAAGCTTCGTTGTAACTTTTTTACTAGATTTGTCTTTTGTTTTAAATGTAAAATAACGCGCGTCACCCATGGATTGTGCTTCTTCCTTTTTGCCTGTCGCTCTGGAAATAAACTTATCAACACATGTAAGGACGACTTGCTTAAAAAAGAGGCAAAGCGTATCTACTGAGTCCGGGTTCACATCGTAAAACAAGAAATCTGTCTAGAGCTACTTCCAAGAAGTGCGTGATATCGATATCATTCGCCCTGTTGAAATCACGATAATATTTGCTTCGGTTTTATTGTGCGCATGCTGCGGTGCAGATAGGTCACATAAAACTATTGCATGGTCAGATATGCCATCCGCGATTTATACGTCAAGAATACTTCTGGTATTCTTGACGTATCAATCAGATAAAAACACGAGATTAAGCAAGATAAACCGTTTGAGACACGTGTGGGACACTTGACCACTTGGCTCAAATTATTGCTGAAAACAATATCAACAAGAAGCCTAGGCTGATTGTATATCTCGTTGGATATCACGCAGTTCCATTCTATATCCGGCAAATTAAAATCACCGGCCATTACTATACGTAAAAACCGATTGGTTTTAATCGTGGTTTAGTTGTGTTGTGGGCATGGCGAAGTGAATTCAACTACGATGCTGACCACCCCTATTCCTTTTATTCTTCAGGTGCTCCGGTGCTGCGGCGTTCTCGCTGATTGGTCGCTGTCGCCCACGTGCACTGAAACTGCCTCATCACCGCAGACATTTTCTGCCTGCGT